TGTCATCATTACCACCGACTATTTGACCACAAGTTATCAGTAAGGGAGAGGGGTGATGGCATTGGTTGTGTTCATAGCTGAACCCTACGCTTAGATCGTTTTTTATTTTTACAGATGGGTATGATAGTGGAATTGGCTTGTCAGCCCTTCGAACCTGGACAACCTCATGAACGAGGGGATTGCGTTTGCCATCGACCGGTTTCAAGTGACCCTACCCGATTGTCCCGTGGGACAGCGTCCCGTCATGATTGGACGAAGGAAGCGTACCTACAATACCATCGACAAAGTCATGGGACGATTGGACAGAGTGATGAAAGTCTTGGAAACCATGAGACACATTGCTATTGTAAATGTCCATTGAGAATTTTATTAAACGTGTTACATGGCCTATCAGTGTCTTATTGTTCATGAGCGTTGAAATAAGGCGCCTTGTCATCTTCTCGGGTGCCTACAATGGCGGTTTTGCCCTGTAACGTGGGAAGGGCGATCTGTTCCTCGGTCATGCCTTCACAGGGTTGATAGTGTTGCAAGGTGGGATTCCACCAATACCATTGTTCCATATCTAAATCAAACACATAGAGGGGTTTGCCAAATATCTGAGCCATGGCCACACTCCATCCCGTACCGCCCAACACATGCTTGCGTAACTCGTCAAAATACCCCAACGCCAGCACTAAGGACGCAGGCTTGATCACGTAATAATTGCGTTGTAGATACTGGAGGGTGATGGGATGGGAGACATGTCGACCCAATCGAAAAGCCACCTGGGTGACGGTGGGTGTGGCAGCGTCCAAGTCGGGCTGAATCAAGGGTGCGAGGGACTTGGCTCGAGGGTGACAGGGTGGGAGGAGGACCACACACGAATGACCATACAGGTGACATAAACGTTCCACATGCGTGTCCACGCCTTTGGCGCCTCCCGTGTAAATAGTCAGCGGCATTGTCTGGGAAAAAATGGGAAAAAAAAGGCTTACGGTACTTTGCGAAACGAAACGAAACGAAACGAAGCGGTACTTTGCGAAATGACGTAAAAACTTGCAAGAGGTGACAGGCCGCACATCTCCACCGGCGTGAAACCTTTGAAACCTTTTACATATTGCTCCATTGAGGAGACCTCTCTCAGGGGATCTTACAGTTTAAAATTTAAACGATGATATCGCTTCTACATAGCGGACCAAAGATACGGCTCGGTGCAGTTTATGTTCAGCAAGGGAAAATTGTGTGAGTGGAGCAGAACCTTTTAAATGTTCAACAGACAATTTATTCAGTTCGCGCGTATTCCTGTTGAATTTGTAGCCCGTTTATGAGATATGTCTACTCAAAAATATAATAATTTTTGCATAGCTGCTGTTATGTGAGAGTAACTGCTTTTAATATCTCCGTAAAGTTTAGGTTTACGCGATCTCAGAGAACAATGTTTAGCTGTACACAGCACGTAGTCTTTTTAAAAATATATCCAGATCTGACACTGGTTTTGGGTATTTATCACGTCTAAGCATGATTTAAATACATTATGATGCTGTGTCCTTTGAATGTCGTCTTAAAACTCAATCGCTTTGTAAATGTCACTTGTAGTTTTAATATCGGAGGAGAGTATTCTAAAGCTCAATGTTTTTCAATACCATTAGCATGTTTTTTTACCAATCAAATTTAACTGGCGCGGGAAAATTTGTCACGCAATGCCTCGCGTGACGAAAGAAAGACAAACATTTCGCAAAGTATCATTTAGCAAATTACCAAAATCAATTTTTTTGTTTGATTTGCTTTAATTGTAATTCATATATGGTACTCGTAGTAACTAAGAAACAAATTTAGAAGAAAAACGCTCTGAAACGCTCTTTTTACATGTTTGCGTGTGAAAGATGCGCCCGCAAAATTTACACGTGTTACACAGAGGACACTAAAATGGTTCATACACAACATTCAAGTCACCTAAATCCAAGATGGCGTCTGGTAATACATGCTGCTCTTGGGAAACAGACTTAACGAGGAAATTTGCTCCAGGTTTATCTTTACAAATCTTCAGCTTTCAGTGGAATTCTAGGTACTCTAGATAAGGTGTGATGAAGCATTGTGTTGTAACCGTTTCGCAAAGTACCATTTCGCAAAGTACCATTTCGCAAAGTACCATTTCGTTTCGTTTCGTTTCGTTTCGCGAAGTACCGTAAGCCAAAAAAAACCGTCTGCATTAATGATGGCTGTTTTTGGACAAGGGGTTCCAAGCCCACATGATGTGTGGTTCATCATCGGCATACATCAGGGGTTCCTGCCATTCCCGGTAGGTGACGGTTTGTTCAAAGATACGTCGGACATCGCGGCATTGACAGCAATTATCGGGGATCCAATCCAGGCCTTGGCCTCGGGCAAACGCGTCGTCTTTATCGTCCTTACAATAGTTGCATAAGATCACATCCAAAAGCCGATCGCACCGTTTTTGCCACAGCACGCGCTGAGCATTGACTTGGGAGAGGGTCGGAAGTACATTGGTCTGTCGACGTAACCAACCACTCATTTGACAGGCCCGTTCGCGCGCACAATGATCGTGCCAGATCCCGCTACCGGGCTCCCCGTGTCTATGATCCATGCACCAATTACGGCCATGATCGTTGGTGGCCCTGACCTTCCAAGACCACAATCGGGTACGAAAACTGGGGCTCTTGGAACATCCGATACAGACCATTGAGGGTGAAGACACCCAACCGCCATCGTTCGGGGGTGAGATATTGTTGACACCAGCGGATGATATCGTCCGTCATCTGATGGTAGGGATGGAATTCATGGCGGTTGTAAGCGGTGTACGGTTCAAACGGCAAACCATGCACTGTCTAGGTCTGACGATCCACGCGGGTTCGGGCCTCCTCGGATAATTGGTCGTACAACACGCCCGCAGGTAAGAGGTATTTGAACAACACATGATGATGACCCGTCCAATCACAAAAGGCCAGTTCTCGAATAATACACTGGTCTCGGGAAATGGCAAACCCGTGACTGTACACCAAGCGACCTACTTCGCGTAAAGACATGATCACTTACCGAAGAACAGAAAGGACATCAACTGATGCGACACGTCAGGCAACCCATCGTTTTATAGCGGAGGGCGTGCGCCCGGATTGGTGGAAAACCACCTCACACGATCCTCACGAGACGCCTGGCGTGGTGCGGGATTGGTGGAAAAAAGGATCACACCATGATCACGAGAGGAGGGTTGATGGACAGGTCCCGGGTTATAAAAGACAGACAAGACTCGAGCTAAGAGTCATTCAGCCGAGGGATCTGTCATGGAGCGTCAAGCCACTCAACCAGCTGCTGTACCCACTGGACGCAAACGACGTCGAGTGTGTGGTAAGAAAAAAAAATTGGAGGAAGCCAAAGCCCAAGCCCTAGACATGCAAGCCACTCAACCCCCACCAGTGAACTAGTGATGGCCCTGAAGGCCCTGCCCCGAGCTGAAGACCCACCACCACCACCACCCCAAACCGTGAACGAGTTGATGGAGGGGACCCTGAAAGACTACGAGGAGGAATGTGTGGAGAAAGGGACGGTCCCCTCACAACTGACCACCGAAGTAGGGGACTGGGAAGACCAGGACCTGGATCAGATGGAGGCGAACTTGAACGACCTCTTGTATGAAGCATGCCCATTTCATCCACACCAATTCATCCATTGTGTCAACCCCCAGACCGAATTTGGCCAGTTGAGGTACAAGTGTCCCCAAGAAGGGTGTCCTGTGTATTTGTTTGAAGATACCCGTGACATCATGCTGGACCAATTGAAAGAAGACACCCATCCCCAAGTGCGAGCCCTATCGCAACGAGGGTTGCTGAAGTGCCAATGCGGGTTTACACCCAAGATGAAATTGAGTCGCACCACCAAGAATTACAACAAAGTGTTTTTGAGCTGTGGGAGCTTTCTCACCTACGCAAGACCTTGTGGCTATTTTCAATGGCTCCATGGCCCGCTGTGGCGTCCCCGAGAGCCAGCGCAACCGTCCCTGAGACGATGGGTCAAAGAAACACCCCATGGGAGTGTACCCTATTACAAGGATCCTGTCCTCCTCCTGAAAAAACACTGTCTAGACACTGGGAAAGACGATCACATCGATGGCCCCCTACCCCAGGAGTGGCTCGATGGGAAGGCACCCTCCTTTGTGTCCGAGTCTCAATTAGCCCAAGCCCGGCGAAAGGAGAGTAATAGGCACTGGTTGAATCAGTTTGCGGAATCGGCTGCAGCCTAGGAGAGGGAGAGGGAGAGGAGGCGCCATTTGCATGAAAACTTTGGTAGCATTACCTTGTTTTGAAACAAAAGAAATCACGTAGGTGTGTGAAAAAACTATTAAAGAAAGAGAATGGAAACGATGTTGTGTCAGTGTTGCCATGTCGTTGCCACGCGCTTACGAAGATCCCCAGGAACTCGGGGCCTTGGGTGGGGTCGAGCCCTTTGCCAACGCCCAGAAATTGAAAACCCCGGAAGCGCAACGGATTCTCCAATCGGTGTTGAGTTATACGCTCCACAAACCCCGACGGACGCGGTTTCCCACTACTCCCACGTTGGTCTTTGTCCGTGACGAACAATGGCAAATGGATTTGGTGAACATGCAGAAACTCAGTCGATGGAATAAGGGGAACAAATATTTGTTGACCGTGATCGATGTCCTGTCCAAGTATGCCTGGGCCGTCCCCATCAAATCCAAATGCAGCCAAGATATGATACGAGGATTGGAAAGCATTTACCAACAAGCCTCGCCGCGGCGGCCGCTCCGCGTGCAGACGGATGAAGGCAAAGAATTTTACAATAGAGGGGTGCAAACGTGGTTCAAGAAACAGGGGTCGCATCATTTTTCGACGTATGGGGAATCATTCCGGAGGCACCACCTTGCTACCGTAGCGTGGAACTTTGTTGCCTACAACCGTTACTTTACAGCCCACAATACGTTACGGTACGTGGATGTGTTACAACCGTTGATCCATACGTACAATCACGCCTGTCATCGGAGTATTGGGATGGCCCCGCATCAAGTCACCCCCAACACCGTGCCCGAGGTCTGGGACAGACTCTATGGTCAGCGCTTGGACCAAAAGACCCCACCTCCCAAATGTCGAGTGGGCGATCGTGTACGCCTCAACAAGAAACATCGTCCCTTCAAAAAAGGCTATTTACCGGGATGGACGGAAGAAGTATTTGTGGTCACGCATGTCCGTCGTCATCCTGTGGTCACCTATCGACTCAGGGAATGGGACGGCACGCCTATAAAAGGCACGTTTTACGAACCCGATGTACAAAAAGTGCAAGTGTCGGACGACTCGTTATTTCGGGTCAAAAAAGTCTTGAAACGGAAAGGACGCAACGTGTTGGTACGGTGGAAAGGGTGGCCAGCCAAGTACGATAGTTGGATTCCAGCGCAACCCAGGCATGGTACGAATAAGAATAACGCCCCGTAAAAAACGGGTCACGTGGTTGGACGAGATCCAGGCCGAAGCCAGCCGACCGCGGGCCAGTTACACGCCACCCCCGACAGACGATGCGAGTATCATGAAGTTCATCCACAAGAAAGCCGCCGACCAAGAACGAGCGAAAGTCAACAGGATGGCGGGGGTCGCCTTTGGTCAACAAGCCCTCCGCTCTTCCACAGCGGCCCAAAAGAAACAACGCCGACGCGCCAGTCGTCATCCCCCCATGCGCAAAAAGAAACCCGCCCAACCAAAAACCTGCCTGACCCTGATGGAACTGGCACGGGCCTTTCCCAACATTGCCCAGCAAGTGTGTTTTCATCCCAAACAATCGACCTTTAATTCCTTGGTGGGACGAGTCCCTCGCAGCAAACAGAAAGTGGCCCAGTGGCTATAAAAGGACCCCGCGCACCCTCCGAAGATCATCTTCATCATGAGTGACATCCAACGCATCACGCTCATCAGCAATCCGACCAACGAGTTTCCCAAATATGCCAACAACAGTTTCACGGTACGACTGCCCGAACGTCTCACCTTACCGGGCGAGGGTTGGCATGCCTCGTTGATGTCCCTGACCGTCCCGGATCAAGGACAGAGCAATGCCGTCATCGCCACGGATCCTCATACAAAAGTCGTGACCTTCAGCGTGACGTACTTGACGCGCAAATATATCCTGGGGGAGTATCGACGGGTCAGTTTCAGGACCCAGGAGTATACGGTGGAATTGGAAGATATCATGAGTGCCAAACATCCTGTGACCTCGGGGAGCCTGTTTTGGAAACCGGCGATGCAAGAAGTGCACAACAAGACCATGCAGGCACTGATGTACGAGCAAGATTATGCTAAGACCTATGATGCGGATGAACGACCCCTGGTCAGTGTGAAAAAAAACTGGATGCCCATGATGACCTGGAAAGACGATGCCCTGATTTTGCATGCTGTGTCTAAAGGAGAGTTGCTGAACGGCAACAAGACCAAAGCCACGAGCGCCTTTTCCTTGGATCTGGGTGTGGCGGAAAAGTTTGGCTTCATCGAGAAACCCAAAGGCTGGGCCAATTATACATTGGGTCCCGATCTCCAATTCACTTGCCCCACCGTGACCTTTGATGGCCAAACACCCCCCAAGAATCCCTCGAATCGAACGGACTATTATTGGGAAGGATCGCAATATGCCGGGACGCAACCCTCGGATTTGTCCAAGGAAGTGATGGATATCATGTATCAAGTGAAAAATAAGAGGCTTCATCTGTCCAGGATGGTGGAATGGCAGTTAAACAACCTCAACGTCTCCTTTGAAAAAGTGGTGGGGACCAGCAAACGCACCGTCATGGTCTATACCGATGTGGTGGAATCCTCCATGGTGGAAAGTGGCAAGTTTCCTCTCTTGCGCGAAGTGCAATTGTTGAGAACCGGCGAGGGTGAAAGTACGATGGAACCCCTGCATCATCAATGGATTAAGGTGCGAGGCCATCAGTTGGAGTTAGCGGAAGTGGAGATTGCTAGTACCAGTGGACCCCTGGCCATCTTACCCCCTGGCAAAACCCTGGTGACCATTGGCCTCAAACAGCTATAAAAACCACCACGCACCCCTGGGTCGAGAACACACCAACGTGCGCCGAGATGAGAGGAGGGAGTTTAACGCGTTACCACACGCCCGTGGTCACGACCCAAGAAGGCAAAGGCTTGGCCGAAGAGTTGATCAAACTCGCCGGGTCCCTGATCGTGCAGCAAGCCCAAGCGGGACTGCAAGATATTCAACGAGGAATGAGTTTGGCCGACACCTGGGCCCATCGAAGCGAGCAACTCACCCGCGGGTTGAAACGCAAAGCCCCCGCCCTGGCCTGGACGGTCGGCAAACACAAGGCCAAACGCACCGCCCAAAACACCTATAAAAGAGCCACTCAACGCGTACGGGATATCTTTGGACTGTGAAAACAATCATGGTACGCATTGGCGGCTTTCTCAAAACGCAAAATCGCATTCGACGGCAACGCGCCCGAGGGCGGTTCATCTCGCCGTATCAAGTAGGGGGCACGATTTCTGGCAAGTCCAGCATGGCGCGCTATTCCCTGATGCACACGTCCTCCCGCCTATTGGAGCCCTGGAGGCTGACCCATTTGAAACAACGCCGCCACCGAAGGATTAAAGGCGGCACGTGGATGGACCCGTCTGTGTCCCGGGTGAAACCCGACCCTTGGTTGATGGAGATAGTCCGACGCCGACACGGTATAGAAAGGACACGCCGTTAAACGCCGTGGACAGTCAGCATCATGTCGCTCAATTTGTTTGATGTGCCCGAGGTGGATTACCGGTACGAAGCGTCCCGGGACATGGTGTTTCAACCCGCCTTGACGGGCATACAACCCATCACGTTTTCCATCCCGGCCTCGGACGATTATTACGATCTCAACGAACTCCGGTTTCAAGTCAAAGTGCGCCTGACGGATCCGGCGGCTGGGTATCAAGGATTGAAAGCCAATTTGGCCAACTCTGATGCCAACAATACCAGAAACACCTACTGCGTCAACAATTTTGGTCACTCCATCTTTCGAGATATGACCCTGAGCATGAATGGCGTCCTCATGACCGAACAGAGCAACACCTACCATTACAGAGCCTACTTAGAAACCCTCCTGAATTACAGACGAGACGAAGGAGCCACCAAGTTAGCCCCGCAAGGCTGGGTCAATCAACTCAATGTGATTGCAGAAATGGGAGCCACAGGGGCCAATTCCGATACCCCCACTGGTGCTGACTGGAGTGGCAATACAGAATTGCGTGCCTTGACCAGCCGGTTGCTGAGCAAGAATTGGCACACCTTCATCATCCGCCCCCATTTGCCACCCCTCAAGACGGGTAAATGTTTGATGCCTGGTGTCCAGTTGGACTTTGAACTGTTCCTGAACCCCAACTCTGTCTACTTGATGGGCACCCCTAACAAAGGGACCTTAGTCGACAAGAAATTTCCTGCCATCCACAATGAATACATCAAAGTCACCTTGCTGATGAGAAAAGTGACCTTGAATGCTAGTGTCTATGTCCGACTGCAAAAAGAAAGACAACTGGGCAAAAAGATTGTGCGCTACCCTGTGGTTCGAAGTGAAATCCGCAAGTTTTCCTTTGATGGCCGAACCACCCAGTGGGAACAAGACAATGTGTTTGTGGGCCGATTTCCCGATCGAGCCATGGTGGGGTTGCTGCATTGCAATGCCTTCAATGGAGACCTAGAAAGAAACCCCTATGCCTTTCAAAAGTTTGGAGTCACCCAGGTACGACAGAGTTTGAATTGAGAAGAATATCCTTACAGAACCCTACAACTGACCGGCACGGAAGCCTATGAAGATCTGCTGGGCTACGATCGGTTTCTACAAGCCATGGGTGCCTACAATGAAAACAAGATTCCCATGCTGCTGCCCAGTGATTGGGGACAGGGGAAGAACTGCACGTTGTTCCTGTTCAACAATGTGTCCAGTGGCAAAGCCGATGACCCCCAGTATCGCAACCCCCGTTAATCGGGCAATGTGCGACTGGTGATTGATTTTCGCAGCCACCATCAATCACAACATCACCGTGTTGGTGTGGAGCGAGTATGAAAACGTGTATGAGATCAATCATCTGGGAGGTATAGAGTACAACATCAACGGCTGATCCAGCCTCAGATGTCAGAAGACGCCGGCCATGGAGTTTGTCGCGCTCAGCGATACTGTGTTGTGGGCCTTGGCTCTGGACGATCCTCAATTACGGCACGTGTTTCAAGGCGTGTATCCTGCCGACCAGTTACCCCGATCACCCCCCAAGAGTGTCCGCGCGGCGTACATTGTCAACACGGATCCTGCGGGAGAACCGGGACAACATTGGTTGGGGCTGTGGACGGAACACAGCAAGTGCGAGATCTTTGACAGTTATGGTCTCCCCCTGCACGTGTACACCAACCCAGAGTTGCACCAGTGGTGGAGTCAATGGAAGTACCTGACCCGCAGTGACATCACCCTGCAAGCCATGGATAGTCAAACCTGTGGCCATTATGCTTTATTTTTCCTGAAAGCGTGAGCGCAAGGACAGACCTATCAGGAATTTTTGGGCCGTTGGAGTTGCGACAATTTAGTGTTGAATGATCATAAAGTGGCCCAACAGTTGAAACGCGTGATTAAACGGGAATTACAAGATGAAGTAGATGCCCGACCCAATGGGCAAAAGAATGTGAGCCGCCAGGCCTTTATGCTTTGTAATCATTGTGATCATTATGTCAAATAAAAACAAGACACAAGAGGACCCTAGTGTGTTGAAGGCATAAAAAGACGCGTCGGGTCGCTGGCGGGTGTCATTTGGTGAATCATCGTGATTACTCGCGGCGATGTGCAGCGCGTGATTGATGCGTTTATTCTTTAAGAAACCCTGTATTGGTGTTTGCACCCGATCGAACGGGTCAACACGGTCCGAGGCATCGATGCTTGGGATGGGTATCATTGGTTGTTGGCCCGACAACTGGCGCAAGACCAAGACTGGGTCTCCCTTAAAACCTACATGGACACCCTGGGTGAAACGTATTTAAGAGAGACCATGGAAGGTCTCATTCGGTTCGAGTCCCCACGATTATACCACGAATATTGGACGGCATGCCCAGCCACAGAAGAAGAAGACGACGCGCCTCCTCCCAAGGACCCCGCTTTCGCCAAAACGGGCGTGGGATCATGAGCGTGTTGACCAAAGCGGCCAAAATCGGTTATAAATTGGGACGCGATAAACGGTATAAACGAATGGGAGCCAAAGGGGCCACGGGTCATTACCGACGTCTGCCTCGACCGTGGGAACAATGATCCGACAACCCAGTAGTGTGATTGTGGCCGGCCCGTCGGGCAGCGGCAAGAGCGAGTTGGTGGAACAATGGCTACGGTACCTCAACGTGTTTCAAGTCAAACCGAAAAAGATAGTCTATGCGTACGACCGATTGCAACCCCGGTTCGACCGTATGCAAAAGAAGGATGGGATTCAGTTTCATCGCGGGTTACCGGACCCCAGTCATTTGACCGAATGGTTTGGTCCTACGCGTGGGGGTGTGTTGGTCTTGGACGATCTTATGGAAGAAGGGGGACAGGACAAACGCGTATTGGATTTGTTCACTAAAGATTCCCATCATCGCAACATCACCGTGCTGTATTTGACGCAAGATTTATTCCCCCCTGGCAAATTCTCCAAGACGATCAATCGCAATGCCCATTACATTGTGGCGTTCAAAAACCCACGGGATCAAACGGGCATACGAACCATTTTACTGCAAGCCTTTCCCGATCGTTGGCGTCAAGTCTTGCGCCTATTTAAACCCATCACGTCGCGCCCCTTTGGGTATTTGATGTTGGATGTGCATCCTGCCTCGCATGATCGCTACCGATTGTGGAGTCATTTAACGCCCCGAGAAGGCAAGGCGCAAGTCCATACCCTGCCCGTGGATGTTCCTGCCGTTTTAAAACGCGCTGCAACGAGAACGCGAACGTCAACGCCGGCAAAAAGAAGGCGGACAACACACTGACTTATCGGCCCACATGGACACCCCGACCCTCTCGCCTGCCGGCGTGGGCTCCCGCACGGCACTACCTCCCTCCATGGATCTCAGCAGCATGACGGACATGGTGACCGAATTGACCGGACCGATCGATCGAGCCCAATTGGATCAAGAGATTGAGGATTTCAATCTGACCTACCCGGTCAATGTGGACGATGCAGTGAATATGTTCAGTCTACCGCCAGTGGCAGGCACCGGCACCGCCCATCACCACTGCTACTCAAACCCGACGCACCACGTCTACCCGAACACGCCCTACGACCACCGCCAGACGACCCCGACCCGTCACGTCCACCCGAACACGTCCTGTCACCACCGCCACGACCACCACCGCCCCATCGCGCCCCCTCACCGCTCGCCGCGGCGCAGGTGCAGGGACAAGGACCACCACCTCGACGGTGACGACTCCCAGTGGACGTCCCAGAATCGCCGCCAAACAACCGCGACGACGTCCCCGGGTGCCCTCTTCTCCCTCGCCCGATTCTTCCCCTCCTCCGTCGGAGGACGATGACGATGATGACGACGATGACGGCGAGGATCGACGGCGGGGATTAAGGCGACGGCTGGATTTACTGAATGAAGATGCTCAACAACGTGCTCGAGGCAGACGTATTCGAAATATCATGCATACCACTACAGTGACCACGGTCTACGAAGAAGGGGGAGGGCGACCTTCTGTGCGCCGCACTTCCACCCGAACGTCCAGCCCAAGTCCGCCACCATCACCACCACCACCACCACTCCGTGGACGTGGCCGTGGCCGAGCGCGTGGACGGGGTCGACGCTCTTGAACAAAAAGATATAAAAACAGCTTCCTCCATCCAACCGTCCTAGTACCATGTGTGGCCGATGTCGAAGGGCTATGGCCCCTAAACGCAAACGCACCACGACTCGACGTCGCAAACCCGCCAAACGACAACGGCGTATGACCTATGGTCAAGTAGGGGGTGTCTCGTCGGGTCTCATTGTGGGGATTGGGAAAGCCGGCTATGGGATCACCAAAGCCTTGGGGGAGCATCAAACCAAGCGAGCCAAGAAAATATCCGAAAAATGCCGACGGGAAGTGGACGAATCCTATGCACGTGGCAAACCCAAACGCTATGCGGGTGAATCGTTCAATTGTTCTATCATGTGAAAACGTATAAAAAGACCTTTGTGGGCCTGGACAAGGGTTAGTTTGAAGATGGTCCGTGGACCCAATAGACGCCGACATCGTTATGTCCCCGGAATACGACGCCGGCGACGTGGATTGCAACGTGGAGGCATGCTACCCATGTTGGCGATGGCTCTCTCGCCTTGGGCGTTCAAGAAGAAACGCCAACGGCGGGCGCGCCGACGTTGAGGTGAGACCTAAAAGAAAAGCTGTCACGTTTGCTTTGGACTGGGACGAACGGTATGAAACGGCCCTGTGTCCACGGTGTCGAGATCACATGCAAAAGCATTATCATGGCGAACTGTGTGGCAGGTGTGGGGCGATTTTTACCATAAATAGACCTTGGTCGTTGCCGGAACATGGAGTGGCGCATGGAACGTCAAGCCCCGTTCTTGAAAAGCGTCTTACAAGAAGCGAATCAACATAAACGACAAGAATTGTTACGGATGGCCAATGCGGATCAAATCAATGCCATCAGTTAATTGGTCATGAACACGCTCCGTGGCACGGTGCCCCGTTCTCGACACACGATTACGTTGCTCAAACCCCATGCACAGAGCCTACGCGCCATGGCCAAACCCGCACATTCGGTGAAACGACGACGCGCCATCATGATGGCTCAAACCGGAGGCACCCTCTGGCCTGAACTCTACCGATATTATAAACGTTGCATGCGTTAGAGGCCGCACCTCAGTTGCACCATGGAACCAGAGATGGTGAGCACCTCAGTGGACAATGCCCCCGCCTTTTTACAATTACGAGACAAGTACAAACAAGAACTGGTGGAAGATACTCGCTTGACCAAAGCCGCGGATTTGGCGGCCAAACAACATGTGCTCGTAGTCAGTGATGCCCCCGATGCCTGGAAACGACCTCAACTCAAAGCCGTGGGGCGTCGATTACGCCACTGGACCAAAAAAGTCCGCCAACCGTTTGGGGCCCCGACCAGTGGCGTGCGCGCTACGGGTGCCACGACCCCTGGCGGCGATGATTTTGAGGCAGGGCCCGTGCAAGCGTGGTTCACGCAATTGGTCAAGGCGACCCAGGGTATAAAACAAGGTACCACGCCTGGAGGACCCAGAAAACCACCCGTTCCGCCCAAAACCTAACATCACCCCCAGTGCCAAAAAGAAACTCAAGTTCACGTCCGAGCAGCGCAGAGTTGGCGCAAGAGTTGCCTTTTTCAGAGGAGCCTGGAACAGGACCTTGGGATACACCCAGTGAACGTGTGGAGTCCATCAAGAAATCGATCAAGCGCGGTCTCCGAAAGAAAGCAGCCGGTGCAGCCAAAAAGAAAAGCAAAAGTCTCGCCAAGAAAGCCTTGGATTGGAAAACGTGGAAAACCCCGTGATGGGACGGACCCAGAGACGCCGAGCGGCTGCGCCCCGATCCCGACAGAGGCGACGACGCTCGCAACGCGGGGGCAAGTTATTTGATGTGCAAAAGCTGTTGAACAAGACAGGGATGGAATTTCATTGGCCCAGCTATCAGTACATGGGACCCGGCACCCATATAAAAAAACGACTGGCCCGCGGGGATCCCGGCATCAACCGGTTAGACAGGATTGCCAAAGCCCATGACATCGACTATGACAAGGCCAAGAACTTACAAGATAAATGGGTGGCCGATCGCAAGATGATTGCCAAGATTGATCGACCCCCCGGCCGCAAAACCCTGACGGAACGTATTGTTAAAAATATCATGAAAGCTAAACTCAGGTTGGGCATGTAAACAAAAAAAGACACGTTGTTCTGTACATACACATGTTTAATAAATCTTTGTTCTTACAAGTACTGGTCCATTTGCTCTAACGCGTTCGTACGAATGGTTTGCACCGTGTCCTCCCCCTCCTCAGGCTCGGACTCTGCCCAGTCCAGTGGCAACCACGGTAAAGGAAAGGGACGGGCCAGATGCTCGTCCAACCAGTTACACCTTTTGCGTCGCTTTGACTCGGCACGTTTGACATTTTTGCTCGCTGCAAGGCTTTCCACTCTTCGAGGCCCTTAGCTCGTTTTTTCTCCGCCATTTGTTGTCGCCGTCTCGCATTGAGCCGTCTCCGGTACTCTTCGTACGTTCCCTCCCGGATCATTCTCTCCCTCCAGGCCTTTTGCAACAACAAGTTTTTGCGCTTGACCTCATTGCGCTGCTCCTCCGACATGGCATGGTAGCGCCGCATACCTTCCTTGGCCTTTTTGGCCTTGAAAGCCTCGTATTGACCCGTGGCCTTGATATGAGCGATTCGCATTCGGGCCCTCACCTCCTCGATACCGTTAAAGGCCGCTTTCTGTCGCTGTCGATATCGTCGTTGGCTCACCCTATTCTTTTAGGAGTCCCGCTTTTTCTTGCTCTGCCCTGGCGTATCCATGGTCCGGTTCGATCAAGCGGGCCGAACACACGTCCGCCAACGCACGTAATTTTTGGAACGGGCTGGCGGTCTGCTTGTTCTGCTTGGCCAAGGCTCGCCGCTCCCGCTGCTGTTGCACTAGTCGGTCGCGGTTTCGGTGATAGTAGTCCCGATTGATCCAACGCACTTGGGCCAGATGTGTGGCTCGGTATCGGTAGCAGGCTTCTTTGTTTAGTTGACGTCGTCCGGCAATCTGCTCTGGCGTTGGGGCTGGTTTGGGCTTCTTTTGGGCGGCCCGCCGTTCACGTTTCCGTTTCAAAATCTCCTCCTTGTTTCTCAGATACCACTCTCGTTTACGCTCTCTCGCCACCTCCGGATTTTTGTTGGGCGTATCGAACACAACTGACGTCTGTCCTGGACGTTTGCCTATATCTATCGTCTTGTCCGCCAATCACCGTGCTCGGTCCAGGGATGGTGCGGGTGGAGGGAATCTGGTACCCATGGGGGGGACCACCCCTGATCTTCCTCCTATCGATCAAACCCCTCACCTGACCCTCATCGGACCCTCACCTGAGTCCCTTCTACCACTCTCCTGACGATCATGTGATATCACCTGAGTCCCTTCCACCAATCTCCTGACGCTCATGTGATTTCACGTGGTTTTCAGTCTATAAAAGCCAGTGTCTGGCGCGGGAAAATTCAAATTGTTTCCTCCGTCATGGCGGATGACCTCTTGTATCACTTTAGTGACGAAGAGGATGACGAGGATGCCCTGTTGGACCGAGCGTTTGACCGGTGGGAACAGATGGGAGGCGGCTCCGCTGGAGGCCCTCTCTTTCAATTCATCATTCTCCTATTGGTATTTTTTCACCTTTCGAAACTTTAATTGGGAAACTCGATTCCGAAAATATTGAATATTTTCTTATGGGAGACCTTAACTGCGACATGATTGCTACTCGATATGACAATAATACATGCAAATTAATGAGTATCACTGATATTTATGGTCTACAGCAACTTATCACTGAACCAACCAGAAGAACTCCGACTTCTGCAACTTTGATTGATGTAATATATACTAATTGTCCAGATAAAGTTGTGTGTTCGGGGGTTCGTCATATCAGTATTAGCGATCATAGCATAGTTTTTGCCTATCGAAAATTATCCGTGAATGGAATGTCTGGTGGGCACAATGCTATAACCTACAGAAACTTTCGAAAATTTAATCGAATAAATTTTCGGAACGATATTGCATCTCATTGTTGGGACCACATATACAATTCAACTGATCCCAATGAAATGTGGCTACAATGGAAATGCTCGTTTCTATCTATTGTTAACAAGCATGCTCCCTTGAGAACAATGCGTGTTCGCACGCGTAGTTCCCCATGGATTACATCTGAGCTTAAGAAACGAATGCATGATCGGGATATGCTAAAGATTAAAGCAAGTAAATCGAATGATTCAAATGACTGGTCACTTTTTAAAAAACAACGCAATATAGTAAATAGCGAAATCAGATTAGCCACGCAAGCCTATTATCAAAATAGTTTTAACAAGTATACGGGCGATTCTAAAAAGACCTGGCAGACTATCAATGAACTTACTTCGCGAAAATCTGGGAAAAAATCGGTGGCATCTCTGAAAGTAAATGGAGTATCAATAACAAATCCAACTGTGCTGTCGAACCAATTTAATAATCACTTTGCTACTATCGGTCCAGAACTTGCTAGCAATATTGATTCCTCGAATAGTGATGGTTATCAAAAGTACCTCAATGGCACAGATAAACGGTTTCAGCTCTATCCGACCAGTACAAATAAAGTTCTCTCACTTTTGAATCGTCTAAATAAGTCAAAGGCAGCTGGCCTTGACAAGATATCTGCTAGGCTCATTCGGGAATGTGCAGATCTCATTTGCATTCCTATCCGTGATATTCTTAACCAGTCAATAAGTCAAGGCATATTTCCGGATGACTGGAAATACGCAAAGGTCACCCCACTTTTTAAACAAGGCGATCGGGACGACTTAAATAATTATCGTCCAATTTCGGTGATCTCAGTTATGGCCAAGGTCTTTGAAAGAATCGTCTATGTTCAATTATATGCCCACCTAGAAGAGCACAATATAATCTGTAAATATCAATCAGGCTTTCGCACTATTCACTCAACTGTCACGGCTCTCCTTGAGGCCACGGACACTTGGGCGTACAATATTGACCGCGGTAAAATCAACGCCGTTGTTTTCTTAGATCTCAAAAAGGCCTTCGACACAGTTGACCATGAGATCCTTTTATCAAAATTAAGCAATTACGGCATATATGGTAACGCGCACCAATGGCTTAAGTCATATTTAGAGAATCGTACTCAAATGTGCTCCATCAACGGATCGCTCTCTCAAAGCTGTTTATTAAGTTGTGGTGTTCCCCAGGGGACGATTTTAGGTCCATTACTATTTCTGTTATACATCAACGATCTTCCAAACTGTCTTTCAAATTGTGAGCTGAGGATGTACGCTGATGACACCCACCTTACATACGCAGGTGATAATGCAGACAATATTCAGTTGAATCTAAATCAAGATTTAGAAAATGTTCACAATTGGCTGAGAGCAAACAAACTTACTCTAAATATGACTAAAACCGAATTTATGCTTATCGGATCTAGGCAGAGGCTAAGTACTCTCACAGAGTCCCCGACATTTGCAATTAATGATTTTCAAGTTAGCCAGGTCACTACTGCAAAATCACTTGGAGTGACCATCGATGACAGACTTGATTGGAGTGGCCATATCGAGAAAGTAACAAAGAAACTCGCTTCTGGTATTGGGGCCATAAAACGAATAAGGCACCTTGTCCCTCAGGCGACCTTACAACTAATATATCAAGCTTTAATGCAGCCACACGTTGATTATTGCAACATTGTTTGGGGAAACTGTAGGATAACCTTATGGAATAAGGTTCAAAAGCTACAAAACAGAGCAGCCCGTGTTTTGACCTACTCAAGCTATGACGTAGATGCTGGTCACCTTTTTAAACTTCTAGGGTGGAAAAACCTAGCTTGCCAGCAACAATTTCAAAGAGCTACGATGGTTTACAGGTCTCTGCACGGGTTGGCTCCAAACTATCTTAGTTCTAAATTTGAAAGGCGAGAAGTCGCGTATAACCTAAGGGACTCTGAAAATAAACTCAATGTTCCATTACCGCGCACAAACTATTACAAAAACAGCTTCAGCTATAGTGGCGCCATTCTCTGGAACAGTCTTCCTTGTAACGTAAGGGAAGCAGAGTCCCTTGGGCAATTTAAACGATTACTCAAAGAACTGTAAGGCACGGCATTCGTGGAAAGCAGCTTTTTTATTTTAATATTTTTATTATATTAGTATTAGGCATTTTTAAAGCTGACGAATTTTGTAACGTGGATAAATAAAGATTATCTATCTATCTATCTATCTATCTATCTATCTATCATGCAACCCATTGGCCGACGACGCCGCTGGCGCGAGGTGGTGGAGCGGGCGCAATTCAATGCGCAATTGCGTCAATTGAGAGATCCTGTGGCTGGGGATAAATCGGGATGGCTTTAACCGAAGCATTGCATCATGCCATCGAGACGGAACTCGACCGAGAGCAGCGACCGGCTCATCATTTTGTCAATTTTGCCATCACAGCTCATGGATTCACCCACGCCTACCAAACGGCCAATTTCACTGTGGGGGAGTTTTTACAACGCACCGCTCGCTTGGATGAGATGTTGGCCACCTTAGCCGACAAATTAAACAGCAATGAAGCGTTCAACCCCGATCGCGGTTTCCAAGTGGATGTCGTGTTTGTGTCCATGCCAGGCCCCGGGGTCCGGTCGTGGAAAAAAATACAACCCTGGACGTCGATGCCTGGATCGAGAAAACAAGAAAAAACAATGCATCGTCACCATCAAAAACAGAACTGCCTTATGCTGTGCTCGCGCCATCGTGACCATGCGAGCGCACTGCCACAAAGATCAAGGAGTGGACGGGTTTCGCGACTGGGAAAATCTCAAGCGTGGGCTTCCGGTGCAGCAACGACAAGCCCAGGAACTGCATCAGCAAGCAAGGGTGGCCGAGGGTCCCTGTGGCATCGAGGAATTGCGCCGATTTCAACAGGCGTTGGGGCCCCAATATCAATTGCTGGTGATGACCCGGATGAAACTGTTCTTTTTGATTTTCAAAGGACCCACTGCCCCTCATCAGATTCGTTTACTGAAATCCAATCATCATTTTGATGGCTGTACGTCGTTTCCTGCCTTCGTGAACCGTTCGTATTATTGTGTGGACTGTGAGAGGGGGTTCAACACAAATGATCGCACCACTCATACCTGCCAAGGGACTCGCTGCTCTGCGTGTGGCCGCTTTGACTGTCGGGATAATGTACGTGGTACCCGGCCCACCGACTATTGCACCCTGTGTCACTGCAAGTTTTACGGTGCCTATTGTAAACGCCATCATGTGGTCACCAAGCAATGTCAATCGATCAAAACCTGCCTCAAGTGTCAAGCCCAGTACACGGTCGTCCCCAATCGACGCCACAAGTGCGGGCACGCCAAATGTCCTGCGTGTCAAGAATGGGTGTCCATCCAGGACCACAAGTGTTACATTCAACCCGTGGTGGAGGACGAGGAGCCAGAACCAACAGAGGAGGGGGGAGGTTGCATGGTTACGCCACCCCCTCCCCTGTTTGTTTACGCCGATTTTGAAGCCATGCAGAATGCTGAGGGGGTCTTTGTCGCTAATTTGTTGTGTTATTCGTCGACGGAGGAACAGACGATCCATGTGTCGGAGGGGGAGGATTGTGCCCTACAATTTCTTCGTGATTTGGATGACCTGGTCGATGTGCCGGACAGGGATGACGAGCGTGAGATCCTCGTGGTGTTTCACAATTTGAAAGGCTTCGACGGCATGTTTATTTTGCACGAACTGTACCAGCAACAGCGAGAGGTGGTGGACCAACTGACGGTGGGGGCCAAAGTCTTGTCATTCAAGAGCGGACCCCTCAAATTCATTGACTCGCTGTGTTTTTTACCCATGCCACTCGCCTCTTTTCCAAGCACCTTCAATTTGACGGAATTGAAGAAGGGGTTCTTTCCGCATCTGTTCAATACCCCCGACAACCAACAGTACGTGGGTCGAATCCCCTATTTGGAATTTTACGATCCCAATGGGATGATGGCCAAAAAGAAAGACGAACTGACCCGTTGGCACGCTGACCAAGTTCGTCGTAATGTGTCCTTCCATTTCCGTCAAGAAATGATCGACTACTGCAAATCGGATGTGGCCTTGTTGAAAGCGGGTTGTGAAGCCTTTCAGCAAGAATTTGAACGTCAGGCTGGCTTCAATCCCATGGCCAAGTGCATTACCATCGCCAGTGCCTGCAATCTGTATTGGCGCAAACACCATTTGACACCCAATACTATCGCGGTCGAACCTCTCGGTGGCTGGCGAGGCGGGAAGGTCAACCAATCCCTCAAGGCCCTGCAATGGCTCTATTACCAAGAACACCAACTTCCCAAGCAGGGGGCCAGTGCAGACCGAATCCGTCATGTCCGTAATGGGGGTGAACAATCCGTCCGGACCCTAGTCAATGCCTATTTCGGAGACGGGTACGATCCCCTGACCCGTACTGTCCACGAGTTTCATGGGTGTCTCTATCATGGTTGTCCCCGCTGCTATCCCAACAGGCGAGCCAAGCATTATGCCACGCCTGATCGAACCGTGGAGGAACTGTATCAAGCCACTATATCCAAACGTATGGCTCTGCTCAGAGCGGGTTACACCGTCATCGAAATGTGGGAGTGTGAGTGGGACCGTCCTGGTAGACAACGAGCCTGCCGTGTCTCAGTTTCTTCCTTCATTCGATCTCGTACCACCCCTGGAACCCCGCGAGGCCTTTTTTGGGGGCCGAACAGGCGCGGTGGCCCTGCATGCTGTGGCTGGGGAGGGCGAGGAAATACGCTATGTGGATGTGACCTCCCTTTACCCGTGGGTGCACAAGAACTGCCCTTACCCATCGGTCATCCGCAAATCATCACGCAACCCGTCGATCAGTCCCTGGGGTCGTATTTTGGTATCGCCACGGTGGACATTCTTCCCCCTGCTGGTTTGTTCCACCCCGTCTTGCCCGTGCGCAGTGGCCAAAACTCACCTTTCCTCTCTGCCGCACCTGTGTCCAGGAAGAGCAGGCCAAACCCATGTTGAGTCGCAACCATTATTGTCCTCATTCCGATGCCGATCGCACGCTACGCGGGACCTGGTGCACGCCCGAGCCGGTCAAAGCGGCGGAAAGGGGGCACACCCTCGTCAGGATCCACGAAGTCTGGCAACCATTATTGTCCTCATTCCGATGCCGATCGCACGCTACGCGGGACCTGGTGCACGCCCGAGCTGGTCAAAGCGGCGGAAAGGGGGCACACCCTCGTCAGGATCCACGAAGTCTGGCATTTTCCCCCCGAGCAACGCAGGACGGCTCTTTTTGCTGATTACGTCAACACATGGTTAAGGTTAAAACAAGAATCCGCTGGGTGGCCTAGTTGGTGTCAGACGGTGGAACAAAAACGAGAGTACATTCTTCGCTACAAGGAGCGGGTGGGGATCCGACTGGATATTGCCAGCATTGCCAAAAATCCTGGACGCAAGGCCACCGCCAAGCTCATGCTGAACAGCTTCTGGGGTAAATTCTGCGAGCGTGTCAACAAACCCACCACGGTCACCGTCAAGGACCCTGCCCATTTGTTCAGTCTCATCTCCCATGCCGCTCTCGATATCAGCACTCTCCGCCTCTGTACCGACGACATCTTAGAGGCCGTCTACACCGGCGTCCAAGAGAACGCCGTCAAGGGGACCAAAACCAACATCTTCGTAGCAGCTTTCACCACGTGTCATGCTCGGCTCAAACTCTACGAGTCCCTAGACACCCTTCAACAGGAAGTCCTCTACTATGATACCGACAGTGTTGTGTACAAGTGGCGTCCTGGCCGACCCAGCATTGCCATCGGTGATTTTCTGGGGGATATGACCAACGAATTAGATGGTGACGTCATCACTGAGTTCGTTTCTGGGGACGCTAAGAATTACGGGTACACAACACGGCAGGGTAAAGTGGTGTGTAAGGTCCGAGGATTCACCCTGAATGTTCGCGGCGCAGCTGTCCTGAATTTTCAGACCATGAAAGACAACATTTTGGCTGAATTGGAGAACCCACTGGATCATCGCCGTACCACCAATGTGGTAACGCCTTATTATTTTCAAAGAGATTTAGAACAAAAACGTATCAAAGTGGTTCCACGCATCAAACAATATGGTCTCGTTTTTGAGAAACGTGTCATCAACACGGACACGAAATCTAGTTATCCTTACGGCTATGAGAGAATTGGGGAGGACGTGGAACTCTTGCTGGATTTGTAAATACAATGGCGGACGTGACGTCACCAGGCCGTCACACACGTCCCGCTTGTAACCTAGGTTCGAGATTTGTTTTTCATTAAATCAAATTTTTTTTCCACGTTCAAACCTGTGTGCGTGTGTTCTTTTTCGCTGCTGGCCGAGCCCCTTTCCCGAACCTGGGACCCAGGGTCACGTGATCTAAATCCCGCCCTCTGATTGGTCGAAAGGGGTCACGTGAACAAATTGATGACGTACCCTATGCTAAGGAGCCACACCCCGAGCCACACCCCCAAAAAAGACAATAGCCCATTGTCTTTCTCGCGCTCTGATTGGTTACTACCAAGTTTAGCCACATGTACTACTTAGGTCCTTCAAAGGGAAAAATGAAGTTTATAAAAAGGGGATACTCTCTTGAGTGTATATATCCTTTGTTCTGATCGGGCGAGCGGGAATTAAGCTTTGCAGGAAGAATATAAAGAGATGACTTATACTGTGTGCTCTTTAAAAAATTACCATATTTGCAATGACATTGGCGGATTCAAATCTCTAGCTAAGTGGGGGACGTGCTCATTTAGTCCCGTAGACTGCAGTTTGGCCTATAAAGAAGGTAGAGCCCCGGCCCCCCGGGGCCCCTTGGCCCCTCCCGTAGATCGGCCATTGAATGATATAACACGATCTGCATGCTGTTTGTTTTTTTAGACTGACGCAATGCAGATGCTAAAGCTATACAAATTATAAAAATTTACGATTCCATAAGATCAGAGAATTTCGACTGCCAATTGAAAGAAAGATTATGAGGGATGCGCATCTTTTGCTGGTCAGGAGCCCATAACCCGGAGTGAGCAACTTCCATGCGCTTGTGTCACGACGTTTTCACGGACCAGTATATTTCTAGAACGGTTTTGGCTCGAATTTTGAATATCTTTTAAATTTCCCAAACTAGTTAGCAAAATGGTATTTTTTGCCTTTTAATAACGTTTAGGTTTCCGTTTTGAAATCTTATACTTCGAATGCGCTCATAGACATGGTGGATATTTTATTTTCGCGGGAAGAAGTGCCCCTTAAAATGTGTCTAAAAATAAACTGATCCGTAAAAACGCCGTGACATAGGCCTAGTATGGAAGTTGCTCGCTCCGGGTTATGGGCTCCTGGCTGGTATGTTTTTTCTAAACTTCGATATTGGGCTTATTTTTCAAAACAGAGTGTCGCGACCGAGTACCTTCACTTAACAGAAGACAACAACCGTGGCAGAAAAGATTACTACCTTGATCCACATGATTCAGACCCCACCGTTCCTGTGACGAGAGCACATGTTTATGACAGGTTAGTACTCTCGATTAAGCATTTGGCTTTTATTTTTGAAAAGTTCAGCCACAAGCGAGTTGGGTTGTCCATACCCGGTATTCCGTACCCATAAAGGAGCCAGCAAGTCCCAGGCTAAAGAACTTCGCAATATTAGTGCGACAATAAATACGTTAAACAAATGACGAAAGAATTTCCGTTAAGCTGCGTAGCACTTTAGAAAATAGAAGTAACAAAAATGTTCATTAAAATAATAAATAAATCCTGAACAAAAGTGGCGTGTTTAGGTTGAAGTTATCCTTTCCAAACGTTTCGGTCCTGGCCCTTAATCAGTGGAATTACCAGTTCGTTGAAACAGTTGCAAGGTTTATATACGCCATAAATTAGAAATAAAAATTAAAGGCTTTGTAGTCCACGCGCGGCTCTCCGCGCGGCCTAGAGGAAACGGAAGTCGGCGTTTAAACCGCGCGGCTGACTGGTGCCAAGTTGAAATATCAGTCGCATTTCCAGGCGCTTCTGTTGCGCGTTATCTACAGAGAGCATCATTCCTCAAACCAAAGCGTCGTCGATTGAGTGGCCAGCCGGGTTAAAATGTTAAGCCACAGGAATCCCCGGCAAGTTCTTTTCAATGCTCCGAAGGACTGATAATGAAGAATGGTGTGGGTGTCTGTGTCCTTGTAGTAAATGGTAGTGCTGATGTGATCATCAGTAATGCGTAACGTGGTATCGAGGAAAGAGAGTTCAGTGTCAGACTTCGCCGTCTGTGTCCCGAAGACTCAGATTTTCTGGAAATTGGCGGTGAAATGGTGTGTTTCTTTGAACAACGTGGATACTTCCCGCCTGTTTACAGAACGATTTCCAGGCCATCCGACGGTTAGACCGGGCTGGTGCACTAAACAATCCCAACCCCTCTAATCAAAGATCAGAAAGGATTCCTTTGGTTCTTACTTACCATCCTTTAAACGAAAGAATCAAGAGAATCCTACTTCGTAATCTCAACATCTTGTCGAGTGACCCTGAAACCAGAGCAGTCTTTCCGCAGCCACCGCTGGTCGCCTATCGCCGTGACAGCAACCTCCGTGATATCCTCGTGCATACTTCGGATAGCAGCCAATCCGGCTAACACGCTCGCTACCGCACTTGCCATTACATTTCTGGCGACACTAGTGTCCGTGGCCCTCAATACTCTTTGGTCATCAAGAAGGCGTTCTCTTGCCAAACGTCTGGCTTGGTCTACCGCATCTCCTGTCGCCGTTGCCCTGCCGTCTATATCGGCGAAACAGAGCGTACTTTAAGACAACGTTTTGGCGAACACCTTCGGAGCATTGAAAAGAACTTGCCGGGGTTTCCTGTGGCTGAACATTTTAACACCGTCGGCCACTCAATCGACGACGCTTTGGTTTGAGGAATGATGCTTTCTGTAGATAATGCACCTATCAATGTAAATCCCGTGGGGGGGGGGAGTGGGGGCAAGGGGAGGGGATTTGATGCCTGGGACTATCCCGCTATCGGGCTTTTGATCGTGCGAAGCGACCCCGGGGTCGGGACATTTAACTTTGACCGACAAAAGCCTGGTATCAATTCAGAAGCAGTTACCAAGTCCGTCCTTCGAGGCTTCCTGAAAGTCACGCTGTTGGAGAAAGGTATGAAGTTTTCATTTGTTTTAATCGCCAAAATCCGATACTTTAAACTGTCATCTAAACAGATAATGTCTATTTTGAGAAACTTTCTATCTTCAAGTTCCCATCTGATTGTAAAACTCGATTGAAATAGAATTCCACCATGAAAGTCAGAGGATTTTTTATGGGTCACTGATCCGACCTGTTCCGACATGTTGAGCAGATGTTATAAAGCATTTTAAGTTTTATTAATATTATATAGCACGGTCAATCTTCCTGGAGTGATTTTGTTGTTCA